AAAAATCAAATGCTTTTTAATTACAGTTATACTGTTTTGGTTTAAAATCCCAATTATAAACTACACACCAGCTTTTAATGTTAATAGCCCAATAAAACCAGAGTTATACTTCAAATAATTAAATCTCAGACCATCAGAAAGATTGTGATCTTGACTGCTGTCTTTATACAGGAACATTTAATCAACTGCTGTTGTACTTGTTCACATGCACTTAGCCCCTTTATTATGGGATGTGTGATGTGAACACCCCTTCCAGGGTGGAGGTCTGCACTCTGACTGCTTTCTAGTTTTTATTAGTTAGTTAAATTTCTTGAGTGAGTATTTAATTTTAAGACTGTACCATGTCTTGCTTGCAATTTGTGACAGTTCATGGTATGTTTATAGATCATCAATTGCAGTTTGTCAAAATAGGGGGGCCCAGAACATTATCTTGCATAGGGGCCCCTAAATGCTAGAAACGGCCCTGTGGTCTGTGGAAGGAAATTGGAGTACCTAGAAAAATAAACACTGACCCACAAAGAAACTTTGCAAACAAAACCAACCGTTTTGTTTTGAAGCAATGGTGAGGAGCAATGGCGAAGCCTGAACCATTAGCAATTTAGCGTAGTTCCTTCCCTCAGTGATTTACTAATATGATTAATTAAATGTAGTAACACACTAGCAGGGTGGGGATGTTTAAGGCAGTGGTCACAGTTAACTGATGATGGACCAGCTGACAAACTTGCCTGGGCATCGGACACGACGATATTAGATGCAGTTAGTATACATCAGAGCCAAGGAAATAATATATGTGTTTCTATTGTCTGGGTAATTTTACCGGGATTATATGTATGTGGCTCATTCATTAAGTACTTACAGGGCTTTTGCATGAGAAAAGTACCAACAGGGCCGGTTTATATGGACACACGGTGGCAGAGAGGATCAAGCCAGTGAATTTCCCTGTCACTGTCCCCCTCCTAGAAATGTGGAAACACAGTTTATGTCAAGATCTCTTTCATGTTTGTAAGTGGAACTGGTTGGGGAACCTAAATGAAAAAAATCAAAGTAAACACTATGTCAAAAAAGGATTTAGAGACCATCTACAGTTGCCATAATTTAATAGAATCAATACTATTTTGTAATATATGATAATGGTTTGTAGTTTCACCATAATAAACAAGACATTTATCAATAGGATGTTACTGTTTTTGTGACAGGGTGAGCATCTTGTCACTACATCCCAAATGATCACGTGCCCTGGGTACTGGCCAAGGGGGATGTCCCTTTGGCTGACTGGTTAGTGCACGTGACTCTCACCTGGGAGCTTGGGGATAAAATCCCACTAGAGCCCTTGTTCTCCACCTTGCTGCATTTTCAGTTATTCATTCAAACAGTTAAATTAGAAATACATACTTGTGTATAATTCTAAAGAACTGTTTTATCTTTAAGAAATGTTTAAGTCGGGACAAGCCAATTGAGGAGGTTCTGGTATTTGTTTTGGATGCCTCCTGTATGCATCCCAAGTGAGGTTTTCTGGGCGTGTCCATCGACATTCATATATATGGACAATGGGTTTCCATAGACTCCAACAATACGTTTTTGAGTTAAAATGGGAGGTGGCCACCACCGCCATTTTGACCGTGTCATAGGTTCCGTCAAGCCCAGGCAATTCCACAAAAGGGAAGTGAGGTGGAGCTGAGGGTGGGGCTGTAAGGCTGGGATCAAATGACGACACCCGTCGAACTGAAGCTAATGTAGCTACAAGCTAACCTGAAGCTAACCCAAAGCTAATGCGGAGGTGGGAGCTAAGCTAATGGAGGTAGCAACCTAGCTACAACCAGAGTTAACTGTGCACAACACCAGAGCTTCTGAGTCACAGATACGCCGAGCTGACCGCTGGGTAAAACCGGATGGAACACAGAGGTCTCCCGAGAGCTTCATAAGCCGGCAGCCGCACAGCAGACAAGCGCTGTTGCAATCTGAGATGCGCAGAGCTGCCACTGGGTAGAAAACATTGGTTTCCATCCCAGAGCTCCACAAGCCGGCAGCCCGCGTAGCAGACAAGTGGCGTGGCGATCAGAGATGCGGCGAGCTGCGGGGAGGGGACCATACCGATAGTTGGAACCCAGCTCCACCAACATGTTATGTTTCAACCCATTTTCTAAAATGCAGCGTTATGTTAAATGCACTTGGGTTTACCCTATTGCATTTAAATTTCATGGTTAAACAGTACATGTTAAAATCTAAGCTCAGCTAGTGCAAGAGCAGCAGTGACCTAAAATCATCAACAGAAATACATAAATATAATTTTACTTACCGAAAATTGAAGTGGAGACTCCTTGGACTCCTTCTATTAGTGCAGTTAATACCACAGCAAGTCATTTTGTCCAACAGTTGCACAAATAATATCCAAAAAAGAGTACACAAACGCTACAGCTACTGGTCTAAGTTCAGAGACTAAAAATCGCGGAACAGTTTTCAGGCGAGACCGAGGCTCAGACTGAGGCTACTGAGAACTTTCCACGGAGCTAGCTCTGTGGTCATGTGGGTCTGATGCTGCGGTCACGTGGGTCTGATGCTCATTAATTAGTCAGAATTTTAGGCTTTTAATACACTTGAACAGAAGAGTGACAAAAAAACCACCCCTCTCAGAGTTGTCATGAGTATAAAGTAGATCAATTAAACCTAAAACATGTTTTGGTACCAGGCTGTAAACATGTTTATTTCTGCTGTGAAATTGTATTTTTAACATGGGAGTCAATGAGGATTTGCTCGCTTCTGACACCTGCCCCCAGCGGATGAAGGTGGAACTGCAACTTATTTCATTTCCGCATTGGCCTCACTTTCAGACCCGCATTGTGGGAGCTTGGGGGACGCGTCAAACCAGGAGAACGAACACCTAGAACATGCTGGAGGGACCATGTTTCTCGGCTGGCCAGTGAATACTGTATTTCTCTGTAGGATCTGACCCAAGTGGCTGGGAAAAGGGAAATGTGGGACTCTGCTTAGGCTTTTGCCCCTTCAACCTGATACCATAAGATTGGAGGATATTTTGTAAAAGACACACTGTGATTTATTTTAAACAAATTTAAGCTTAAGTGTGTGTGTCAGCTACATTTCTACAGCTACAGAAAGATAACGCTGTTAACGCGGGTCAGCTGGCTGGAGTGTTTACACACATCTTCAACCTTTCCCTCTCTCTGTCTGTAGTCCCAGCCTGCTTCAAAATGGCCACCATTGTCCCTGTACCCAAATCCTCCACCATCTCCACATTGAATGACTGGCGACCTGTAGCCCTGACCCCCATCGTGAGCAAATGCTTCGAGAAGTTGGTCAGGGACTTCATCTGCTCTGCACTGACCGATTCACTGGACCCTCTACAGTTTGCATACCGCCACAACAGGTCCACTGATGATGCCATAGCCCTGACACTTCATGCTGCCCTGTCACACCTGGAGAAAAGGGACACGTATGTGAGAATGCTGTTTGTAGATTACAGCTCGGCATTCAACACCATTGTTCCCTCGAAGCTGGACAGGAAACTGCAGGATCTAGGACTGAGCAGCTCCCTCTGCAGCTGGATCCTGAACTTTCTTTCTGACAGATGCCAGGTGGTCAGACTGGGCGGCACCACCTCATCCCCCGTCACACTGAACACTGGTGCACCGCAGGGGTGTGTGCTGAGCCCTCTCCTGTACTCACTCTACACCTACGACTGCACGGCAACGAGAAACTCCAACATCATTGTGAAGTAAGCGGACGACACCACAGTGGTAGGTCTCATCACCAACGACGATGAGATGGCCTACAGGGAGGAGATCAGCGCCCTGACCCACTGGTGTCAGAACAACAGTCTCACCCTCAACGTCACAAAGACAAAGGAGATGATAGTGGACTTCCGGAGGAGCAGAGGAATACACTACCCCCCACCCGCCACCCCACCCAACCCCCATCACGGTGACGCTGTGGAGAGGGTGAGCAGTTTCCGTTTCCTTGGAGTTCACCTGGCAGAGGATCTTACATGGTCAGTGCACACGGAAAATACAGTGAAGAAGGCACAGCAGCGCCTCTTCTTTCTCAGAAGACTGAAAAGGTTTGGCATGAGCCACCGCAATCTCAGGACCTTCTATCGCTGTGCCATTGAGAGCATCTTCACTGGATGCATCTCCGCCTGGTATGGCAACAGCACCGCTTACAACCGCAAAGCTCTCCAGAGAGTAGTGCGGTGTGCTGAAAGGATTATAGGAGGTGAGCTTCCCTCCCTCCAGGACATCTATAAGAAGCGGTGCCTGAGGAAAGCGGGGAGGATCATCAAGGACTCAAGTCACCCCAGCTATAAACTGTTCAGACTACTTCCATCAGAAAGGAGGTTCTGCAGCATCCGGTCCAGAACCAGCAGACTGAGAGACAGCTTTTTCCATCAGGCCATCAGACTGCTGAACACATCGCAGACACCTCACCCTCACTACTGAAACTCCAACATTACCAGCTCCATACTGTACATTAATGCCACTGTTTTGCACATACCAGCCTCTGTATATTTTATATCTCTTATCTTATTGTTTACTTTATTCATTTGTATATTTAGATTAGCCATTTTTATATTTTACATGTTTTTACATTACTGTATTTTTGCACAACTCTGTTGCTGTGAAGCTCGCACACAAGAATTTCACTCGCATGTACTGTACCAGTGTACCTGCACATGTGACGTGACAATAAAAGTGATTTGATTTGATTTAATTTACAATTTTTATTTTTTATGTAGGTTATTTGCTTGTTCTCAAACCAAATTATGATCTTTAGCAAATCTGCGCAGATGTTTCCCAAACTGGTTAAATACACCTGTATTTTCTAATAAGTTGAGGTAAATATATTTTTTTCCATCTCTAAAATTCATCTCATCTGTTTTTTCGAGTTTTGGCACTTTCCAGTCCCCATACCCTTTTCTGTTTGAAGCGAAGCCCCGCCCATAGCAGGTTTTCTGGGCGGAGCCTGGTGGTGAGGAGCCGGGGGTGGGCAGACAGCAGAGCGTCTCGCGCAACTGCTCCGTTCACTAGTCGTTTGGTGCCTCTTCGCACTTATGTCTTGTAAAAAAGACTCAAAGAGAGGCAGTATGGAGTAAAGACAGAGCATGAGAGCTCTGGGGGAAGCAGAGGGACACCACCAGCAACCTAGCCGGACCTCTGCTTAGACTACACGGATACTACTAGCTCTTTTATCCCCAGGCTGGACACGGAGCTACACGGATGTTCACACACTGGCTTTTGTCCACCAGAGAGTGTCGAGAACGGGGGCGCAGGGGTGGACTGTGACGCCAAGGTAGGATTTAGACGTGTCGGATCTTGAAACGTCGACTCTGGGGATGCTGCTTTGTATAAACTATCCCCGCCTAGCTACAGCAGTGGATAATTTGTTGTTAAATCCGCCACATTTAAAGCCTCGGGTCTACTTTCCAGTCGGTGAGACGCTGCCTGCGATGTCTCGGCTGGGCTCGGAGTCCCAGCTCCTCGGTGCAGTGTTTACGTCTCCGCTGCGGTGTGTGTGTGTGTGTGTGTGTATGTGCGTGTGTGCGTGTGTGTGGTTGTGTCAGCTGGAGCCTACGTGCAAACTTGCTCGGGCGGTGATGTGAAACGGCACGTAGTCGGCAGGGACCGCGTATCGGACTCCCGTGATCAAAATAAGGTCCCGGGAGAGAGTGGGGGGTTTGATGCGCTCCTGATTTTATCGCTCCTGTGCGGATACGCAGCTGTAATTGCAGGCATGACGTTAGAGTGAAGACACAAGGAGACTTAAAGGGGGGCACATACTCTCTGGGTTAATACGATTAGTATGAGGCTCGGGTTCCCTGCAGCAGGAGGATTAGGTAATATTTTTTCCGCTTCGGTTGACGAATCTTTCCTGCTTCCCAAACGAGAATCGGCGTAACAGGCTGTTCCTGTAAGGCTACAAGGGACCGATGACTCGTTCGTGTTTAATTCTCAGGGTCAATCTGGGATCAGACCAGTTTACGGCGATTGCTGATGAGGTGGAGGGGCTTTTTAGTCCAGCATACAGACGGGACTATAGGTTTTCCTTTCCAGGAAAGGGAAGACTGGGAGTGTTTTCAGTTACTGTATGCTATAATATCTCACCCAAGCAACCCATTAATCACTGCTGTGTGCGCCAGGATGACTTCACCTTGGAAACTGAGATTATAGGATTATAGCCGTTACCTTTGATGACCGCCTCACTCACTGTCTTTCTCTGTCTCTTAGGACTGTCGGGGTTTAGCTGGAGAACATGGATAAAACTTTGCACATTCTCCAGAAATCGTCCGACTGCGTACAGACTGGGATCTCTCTGGATGTGAGTCTAAATATGGATGAAGGGGGAGACTTCGCAGAGCGGCCAATCGTGGGCATTTCGGACAAGTTGCCTCTGGTGAAACCGTATTTCAAGAAGAAACAAAGGAAATTGGATACCAAATGCCTCCACCGCGCCCTGAAGGATCTGACCAGTCTGTTGAGTTCGGATACTCTGGTTTCCGGGGACGGGGTGTTTGTTCCCCGGAATCAGCCCGGCAGGACTCCGGGGAACCTGTGTTCTGCAGTGGTGAAGCAGAACTGTGTAGGACCGGTGTGTCTCAAAGACCCGGGAGCTGCGGATAATGTCTCTCCGGCGGCCGGTGTCCAGGCTCTGCTAAGCCGGGACAGTGATGTGGAGATAGCTGATACTACTGCGGAGCTGGAGGAGACGGAGCGGAGAGCTGAGCGACCCAAGATCACAGATTCTAGTCCGGACTGCTTCCCATTGAAGCCTGGGCTCAGGGCGGCGGGGAGCACAGAGACCATTACACCCCCTGATAGAGACCCCACAGCTACATCCCAGGTCCCCCACCAAGAGGGGCCCGTTAAAAGCAAAGACCTTTTAACCTCTGGAGGAGTTAAAAATGCTCCATTCAAAGACCGCACCGCAATCCAAGACCCCCACTCCCCCCTCCTCCTGCAGCAGCCGGACAAAGGGGTGCTGTTTCAGAATAAAAGCGAAGAAGCCTCCCTGGACCTTGTTTTTGAGCTGCTCACGCAACTTCAGTATCACACACACCAGTCGGACGCTGTGGACATTTGTGTGGATTTTCTCCAAGGGCAGTGTGTTTATGGGAACGACTGCGCCCACCACCACACCGTTCTGCCCTACCACTGGCAGATCCGCAAGAGCAGAACCCAGACGTGGCAGAGCATAGCGGACGACTCCCAGGAGCATCTGGAGAGGCTGTACTGCAACCCTGACAATGTGCTGGTCAGCCTCAAATATCAGTAAGTGTCTCCATCACAGGGTCCAGCTCAACAAATACACCAGCGGTCTTTGTCTTTGCTGCAGAACACTCCGGCTTCACAGCTTGTGCTGATTAATTACCAACGTAGCATGTTCAAAACTGGAAATGAAACCGCAATAACTGCACATACTTAGGAGCATCTATTCAAAGGGGAAATTATCTTTTGAGCGAACTTTCAGCACCAGTGTGACATTACATCAGAGCAAGTCTGGCAGAGACGCAGAAACCTCTAAAGTCTAATTTGCTTGTTAAACATTCTTCTGGAAAGACTGCTGATGGTAATTGATAGGTGTTTGTGACATGGCTTCTCCACTTCTGGTTTTGTGTGTTGGAAACAGTAAACCTCAGCCTGAGTTCCCTCTTTGGTTTCACCAGCAGTGACAAACGGAAGCTCCCCAGCTGTTCCTCGCACGTTAGCATGCTCGTGGTGTTTTAGTGCTCTTCACGGCTATGCCTGGGTGAAGGTTTGCTCTGTTTGGCCTTCCACCTTCTTTGTTGCGCTTTATTTTGAGCAGCTACTGCAGACTATAACTTCTTCTCCCGATGTCTGTTATCTGTTTCCTCCTCCCCTCTCTCGCGTCCCTAACACAGCCCCGTGATTGACTGAGTGGCTCAGCTTTAAACAGAACTTACAGCCCTCATGACTGAACAACGTGAACTTTCCTGACCCTTCGGTTGCGTTGTGAGGTCAGTGACACTTGGCAGCTTCTCTCCTCATGCACAGTATGGTGTACGTTTACACACACACACAGTTTGGCGTGCAAACACTTGCACGAATAGGCTGAGTAGGGAACTAAGTGGCGTGCAGTGCTCTCACGCACGCCTTTTAGGAGACAGAGATAAACCGCTTTTTCACTTGCTCACACCCTACACACACACACATACACACACTAATGCAGGCACTTGGCAAACCCCAGTGGGTTGACATAAAGGAGCACGTGCTTCCTGTGAAACACACTCAAACACAAGGTTCACCCAGACTTTTATGACCTTATTCTTAACACAAGTAGCTCTATCTCCTTCATGTCCCTTTTTACAGTGTCAGCGGGTAACCATGTCCTCTAACCACGTCACATTTTTGCAATGCTTTGCCTTTTTTTGTTGTCGTTACGATCAGTTAGCACATAGTTTGTGTCGAATATTTGATCAGACCTTTTTAGAGCAGCTGTTTGAACTCGCACTCGTTTTCTTGTGTGCGGAGTGTTTGAGCTGGCGTGAGTTTGACTTACTGAGCCGAAGCGTGTTACCAAAGTGCACGTCGCTTTGCCAACAGGATATGCACCTGGCAGAGCCAACCCAGATTTTTCAGAGACTTTTCGAGGATGTTGCACTTTTACGCAATCTCATCAAGACCATCTGGCACCCTCGACTGAAACTCCAGCTGAAACTAGAAAAGCACAAAACCAAAAAAAATAGCACACAGCTGATTTGACGTTTAGTTTCCTTTTATGTGGAATCGGTGCCTCTGTACGTGTTCACGTTACCACACAAGCAACTTTTACCCATAATTTTTTCCGTCTGAATCAGCCCTTTTCTCTGTCACTGGCAATTATTTTTGCGTGAAATTCTTTGAACGACAAACTGGTAAAATGAATTGAATCAATCTTTTTCATCTTGAGCAAAAACAGGTTTGACTGTTTGTGAATGCTAGGTTGAGGCACTCATCAGCCGAAGCTTCTTCATTCCTCCACCACACCATATCGTATAATATTCTGCCAAGGATGTTTTCACTTGTGGTTTGTTTAGTTTTGCAGTTTAGCCATTTCTGAGCTAGTTGGCGTCTCCCTGCTGGAAGCCGGTATCCCAGCTTATTTCAGTGATCATTTCAGAGCGGGTTAGTAAATCTGGCGTTGATTTCAGACGGTCGGACCAGAACTATCTGTGGACTGATCACAAGAGGCAGCGTTCAGTCTGTTCTGGTCACTCCGTGTTCATTACTGCCTGGAAAAGCTTCTCCGGCGTGTGAACTCCTGATCCTTTTCCTCAGAAACACAATCCAGCTCGTCTTTTCAGGGACCCAGAGCTACGAACGCAGCACTAAGGCTCGGCTGTGGTTACCAAAGCTAAGTGATAACATTGTTAGTGATATAAAGAGCAGCAGATGACTTAAGAGGCTCTTCTGTCGGTATGGCAACGGAGGTCTGTTTTGCCTTTATTCCGTGCTGCACTGGAGGACTGGACAGAAAAAAAGCCCAATTTATCTGCATTTAGTGAAAGCATCTCCTGCCCTGAGCTGTTCTCATGTGTATGATCCATAGTCCAGGTTAATCCCGTCCATATGATGAGCAGCAGTGGAAGTTTGACTAATCTGTGTTAGTCGTGAACTCAGCAGGAAGAAGGAATGTCTCAGTCATCGCTTCAAAAAGTTATACTGTAATAATCCGGTTCCTTATTAGCCGAGTTAGCGCTGCTTTATGCTAAAGTGGATGTGGAAGGGAAACTTCACCTCAGATTAATTCCTTATTTTGCTGATTTGTGTCTTTTTCTGTATTTCATTTATGAAGAATAAAACCATTTCCTTTCATGTGTGCAAGAGCTGACGTTAAAGTCTTAAAGAGAACATGTGACTGGTTTTTACATAATCACAATGAAGTGTGTGTGTGTGTGTGTGTGTGTGTGTGTGTGTGTGCGTGCGTGCGTGTGGGAGAGGGAGAGAGAGCGAGAGCTAGACAGATTCTTTTGTAAGCCATGTGATAAAAGCCTTGCTTGTCATTAACTGACATAGTCACCAAGCACCAAGGGCAGAGCGACCTGACACCAAGGTGTGTGTGTGAGCATGTGTGTGTGTCTTTGTGTTTATATCGCAGGGAATCCATGTTGCCTCAGTACTTCGAATCAGATGTAAAAAAAAAAAACACGAATGGTTTTTGTGTGTGGGTGTGTGAGAGAAAAGAAGCATTGTCTGAAATCAGTTTGGCTGAATGCACATTGTGTGTGCGTGTGTGTGCGTGTGCTTGTGTGTGTGTGTGGGTGTGTCAGACGGATCATGCCATGAATCAGAGGGGAGAGGTCTGGGTCGCCCTGCCTCTTATTAGTCAGTCTGCTTCCATCCAACTATCTTATTTTCTGTTTTTCTTCTCTTCCTCAAATGAATTATTATTATTTTGTGTCCTTGATGTTTCCTCGTCACATTCATCTTTAATCTCTTGTCTCCATCTATTATTATTTTTGTTATTTAGTCGTCTCTCGAGGACTTGAAGTGGTGGAAGAAGGATAAAAATAAAAGTGCCAGCGCTCTCATATCTTATTCTCTTGAGTGTTGCTTGCTTATCTTCACCATTTCTAACTTGTGTGTCATATCTTCATGTAATTTATTCCCCGGTGCTGTTGTGAGGTTTTCAGAAGACTGGGTTAATGTGGTGAGAGAGGACAGTCTGAACCGAGCTCGGTGGCGTGGCTGAGATCATAAGATGTTCTTTAGGAGATCCTGCTCCTGTGTGTTTGTGTGAATCAAATTAGACCCATTTAATCAGCTGACCTGAAAGTAAACAACAACCAAAACAAGCAAACGACTCCAGCTCATGACATCAATAAGACCTTGTGTGTAAAAGAAGCCTTCGTCAGCAGATTTGCTCGACTGACAAACTTCATCCAGTCGTGACTGGATGAAGTTTGCGTGTGTGTACATGAATCCTCAGAATGTGTGCACAGATGAGCAAACGTGCATATTCTTTTCTCGTTAGTGACGTTCACAATAGCAGAACTGATGCAGGTGTGCAGGTTGTTGATTGTTTATCCGTGAGAAAGTTCGATGACGTGTGTGAGCAACTGTGGCAGCACAGCAAGTTTTCCTAATTACTGTTTACCCCAGGGTGGTTGTTTCTAAACACGCCATTCACATTTACCTCTCGTCCACTGGGTTTAGTTGTTGTAGCTGCCCTTTGACCTCCTAAAGGATTTTCTGCTGACTTTCTTGCTTGTAACTTTGCGCAAACCGTGGAGCAGCCTGACATTTTTATCATCGTCTTCAATCTCATCAGAGCAAACATGCCTGGCATGTTTTTCCAACTTTTGATCAGCCCTGAGTGCCGAAAGCACCAGATTTCTGTGCACTTAATTTAACTGGTGGAATTTTATTTTTAGAGCAGCACAAGCTGGTCTGGGCGCGACGGAGAGAGAAAGAGGGGATGGGGCTCAGCGAGAGGCTTTGAAAACCATCGCCTGACCTCTTCGGAGACCCGTCTTTGTCTGACTACGTGTCAGAGAGAGAGAGGGTGTGAGAAACGGAGCTAATCAGTGAGACGAGAAGGTTGCCTTTTACAGTGGCAAAGTTCACATAACTTCCTCATAATAAAACTGGAGCATTTGCTCACGAGTCACAAGTTTGAAACCAGTACACACACACGCACACACACACACGCCTTTATATTGACACAATGCTTCCTTAGCCCTTCACCCTGAGTGCCCAGTGCTCCACTAACCCCAACTGTAACCTAATACACGATAAACCAAAGCTCTCCGTTAAAGTCCGAGCTGTGTACAAAGACCTGAGGAGCTGTTCTCACTGTTTTCATCGTCATTTAATTGAATCCGTTTGGTCTCTTATTGAAGGAAAGTGATTTTATATAATAAGACGACTCATCATTACATTAGAATTGTTTATCACTGCGTCTCTGTCAGGATTTGATTCCCTCTTTTACAAAAGTTCCAGAAGGTTGCAAGTTCAAGTCCTTGGACAAGGCACCTACCTGTCCACTTGTCTGCTGGTGGTGGTCAGAGGGATTGGTGGCGCCTGTATGGTGTTATGCGTGAAAAAGTACATCGCTGTTAGTAAAGTGTTTCCTAAAAATAAAGTATTACGGTTTTACTGTTGCATAATGGCCAAACTGAAGGAATAAATCCATAAGAATGACTTAAAAACAGTGATACATGAATTAAACATATTAAAACCGCAAAGGTAAAAACAAATCTCTACCACTCTGTGTTCAAGTAATAACCAAATAATGGAATGACATTAACACAGGTTTGTTAAACTTGGTAAGTTATGGTAAATGGGCTGTATTTGTTACCCTGCCTTCGTAAGTTACCTTACAAATTTTTAATGAAGATGTCTGAAAGCTGCTTTTTATTTAATAGTTGGGCTGCCACAAACGACTAATTTAATAGTCGACTAATCGTGTCGTGCATGAAAGTTTAGCTTATTGCACCAGGATGCTCTAATATACCACCATTAGCTTCTAGTTTGAAGTGTGATCATGTTATGCGCCATCTAATAATACAGACTAGATGATAGCTTATCAAGCAAATTTTAATTAGCTTTGTAACCTGTTTTTGCAAATGTTTTGGTCAAATGGGGGTAGGCCCCTAAAACCAAAAACAAATTATACACAAAAATGACTCGTACTCGCAAATGTATCCAGCGCAAAAAGTATTTTTGGGCTTTGAAACAAACTCATCAGCATTTGCAACGTTAGAGCAAATACGTGACATACGTGTTTTAAAGGTGATAAAATCTACATCACTGTTAACCTACGAATACAAGTAACACTATTGATGTTAGCAGCTAACAAAAGGAGCTTATAGAGGCGACTCTTTGTTCTCCGTCGTGACGAATCGACTAATCATGGCAGTGCTATTTAATAGTGACCAGAAACAGGTGTTGTAGTTGTGCCATAAAGTGATTTTTACTTTATTTAGGCTATTTATTTTTATGTAGTCATTATTTAAGGATTTTCTTGAGTTATATGCAAAGTGAGGTTAGGAGAGGCAAAACATTACTATGGAGCGCCACCACCACCAAGCGTTGGTTTTAGTGCATCGCTGCCACGCGTTTTAGGCCTAGTCCACACGTAGCCGGGGTTTTTTAAAAACGAATATCCGCCCCTCCAAAAACTTGCATCCACACCACCGCGTTTTAAAAACAAACTCTGTCCACACGTACCCGGATAAATACGTTGTTAAGGACATGCCAGACCTGTAGGCGGCAGTACTTCCCCCGTTCTTAACCTCGTCCTTCGTCTGTGGTCTTCCGCAAGGAGCAGTAATTCCGCTTGCAAAAACAAACAAGCAGAAAGCGCTTGGACAATTGATGGATCAGGTAGTGACAGAGCGCAGCTCTGAGGGCTTCCATGCTGTCGGCTAGTGTAAACACAGGTCGCACACGTGATGTCAGCATTTTTTTGTCGCGGAAAGTGACGTTGCGGAACTTAAAACTCCGGTTTTGTCCGTCCACATGCAGACACCCAAAACGGAGAAAACGCAGATCTTCACTTTGGCCGGAGTTTTTAAAAAGATCCGTTTTCGTGTGAAAATACTCCGTTTTCGTGTGGATGACAGGCCAAAACGTAGACAAATATCTACGTTTTGGCAGATCCCCAGCTACGTGTGGACAGGGCCTTAGTCAGCTCTATGTGAAATACCATACCAGACGTTCTCATGGTGACGTCGCCTTCAGCTACGCCTTCTCCTGAGTCTGGTTAGGCTCAGTTGTGGCGGTATTCACTCACCATAGCACCTGTGCTCAGCAGCTTCTCCTCTGTTGGTGTACCCCAGGGTAGCTGTGGCTAAAATGTAGCTCTTCGCCACCAGGGTGTGAATGTGTGTGTACGGGTGAATGACTGGTTGTGTTGTAAAATGCCTTTGGGGTTGTAAACCCCTAGAGGGTTGCTATATAAAATACAGGCCATTTACCAAATATCTCATGAAACGGAGGATAGTTTATAGAGGCCTGGTTCACTCAGAATCTGTGTAATAGCTACTTGTTTTTCAAATGCAGTCAGTCGCACTAAGCTGAACATCCATGCTGAATGAGAAAATTGTCTCAATCCCCATCGCCTGCAACATCGGCAGAAATGAAATAGATTGAAATAAACAAATTGGAAAAAGGCCAGTCTCCGCTATGTCACGGGGAAATTATTAGTCATGGCCTCGCCACCAAAGGGGGGACTGAATTTACGGCAAAGATAGAGCAGAGTGTGTCCCAGCTAACAGAAGCTAACCATTAGCATTAGCAACTCCACTACACGGTGGAACACATCCAGGCTTGAGGTATTTGTGGAGATAAACACCAGCATTCTTTACCCAAGACAGAAGAGCAAACAGGCAGCAGAAGTCGGGTTGCTGTTAGCCAATCAGAGGCGAGATGTTTGCATGTCATGACTGACTTATGGAGTTGATGTGATTCAAGATGGTGGCCACAGTTTTCTAATTTGTATTATTCCTTCATTTAAAGTTCCTGCGTATTTCAAAAAGAGCAATAATGGGAAATGTTAATTATTCCTTCAAGGAATCCTGTCAGGTTTTAGATCTCATCAAAATACCAACACACACACACACACACACACACACACACACACACACACACACACACACGCTGTTGCTGGCAGAAACCGTTCTGCACTGAGAGAAGGGACCATGCAGGTACGGGAAGCGGTGAAACGGGGAACAGAGCGGAGATGAGGTAGAACAGTAAAAGATAATTAGGGAAACGGAGCGAGATGAACAGAACAAGTTGACTAGAAGCGAGGCAGAAGATGTTCCTGGTTAATGTGTGTGCCACATTTTCCATTTTCTCGCCTTCCTGGTCCGTTTCTGTCTGTAGTTCCTGCTGCACCTCCTCCCGTACTCGTCTCTGTTCCCATGAAACCGAACCACCCTTTTGTTTTAGAGCACTGTAAAAAGTTCACACACACAGAAACGTCACGTGAGCCTCTGCGTTATCGTTCTCCTCTTGTACTTTTCACAATCTGGTGATCTGAGAGTTGGTGACTGGCTTCCCGGTTGCTGTGTTTGTGCACGTGCTCGGTAAATGACCTCCCATGTCACTTCCTCCAGCGGAGTCACTCCATGACATCGCAGAAATCTTGTGTGCTTTACTTCTATTTTCGTCTGTATATTTCTGAGGTTGTGGAAAATGACTCGGTGCCTCTCATTATTACTGGAGTTCATCGTTGAGCCCGCCACCTCGGTGACCAGTAATTACTGTCATAGGAGGGGAAAACATGAGGTTTTGATGCTTTAGGCTTGAATTATTAAACCGGTTGGTTCTCTGTTGTTTTTCTGCTTTAGCTGGAAAACATCTAAACTCTGGAGAGCTGTTTGTTCACAGCAAGCCTCTGAAACACACAGTACATCAGAAAAAAACACATTTCTCATTGTCTGACCTTTTACGTTACCTCAGCATTAATTCTAAAGCGCCTTAACACCCCTTAGACGCACATATGCCTCCACTTCATGTATTTTCTTGATATTGGTGGGTGTATTGAGCCCCCATGTGCACCTGGTCATCCCTGCTAGCGTGTTTGTCGTGTGTCAGTGTGTGATGCCCGCGTTTGTGTAGTTTCAGCATCTGACCTAGAATGTTTTTGTATAACACACGTAGAGGCTATGGCTGCCACAAATGACAAATGTTTTGATAGTTGACCAAATATTTTGACGTTGAGTCGATTAACTGGATTTTGTGTAAGTTGTAGCTAATAGCTCTAGCGTGCAGCTACTCTAATATAACCGCTATAAGCCTCTTACTTTAGGTGCTGACTCTGAGTGTTGTGTGCTTTCTAAAAATAAAGACAATTTTGGTAAATGCACATTCAACAACTTTTAATCTTGTTGAAAATAAGGGTTAGGGTTAAAACAGATGCTAGTTGTTTGTCTCGGTAACAAGGTTGCTAACGGAAGAGCAGCGCTTTTTAAAACGGATGACATGAATTATTAGTGTTTTTTTTTCTTCGTCAACACTTGGAGCAGCGGAGTGTACGGTGGCATTTCTCAGAGAAAAACAAAGCTTCAAAAAATTTATCAGTGACCTTGATCCCTACATTTGTTGTCGACGTAGTCGTGACTAATCGAGTGATTTGTGAGGCTGTGTGTTGCTTTTCATGATCAAAGGGAGTTATGAGTGCAAACAGAATCTTTTCCTCGTTTAAATCTAGCGCTTGCTTTAGAAATCTGCATTGCACAGCATTTACAGATTTTCCCAGAACTTGTTTGATTTTGGACCATTTCAGCTTTTAGGAAGTCATCCGAGTGACATTTAAGGTTATAAAAATGTGTGTTGACACCATGTCCCTTGTGTCCTCCCGTCCTGGGCCTGCTCGTGTGCATCGCCCAGCGTGACTCATTCTGTTTGAATTGCAACTGAAGGGTTTGGTCGCCTCACTCCGGGGCACATGGGTCGAGTGAAGGTTCTGTCGGCGGCCGCGTGTTCGTTCACACAGCCGCTGATTGAAATATAAATTGTGACTATTTAACAGCAAGGTCACCGTGCCACGGCTGCACACGCGTGATTGCACTCTTCATACTGACTGCAGCGCTCGGCTTCTCCTCTAATGACTGCTGATTTGCCTTTCAGGGGCCGAGTGTTCACCCTGGACTTTGGGACGATGCAAGTGTGTGACCTGGAGTTCGACTGCATCCGACGGCTGACCACGCCCCCCAGTCCCCTGCCTGTGTCTGCAACAAACCCAAACCCCACCCCCAGCTGTCACACACTGTGGAAGTACTACTGCAGGGACAACTTTGGCTGGAGGGAGTACTCTGAGGTATGTGAATACAAAACCAGACGCATTAACTTTGCCCCGATCAATTCGTCAAATAGAAGCTTTGATTGGATCAATTTAGACACGTCAGTCCAGTCACCATCCACCCATGTCCGGGTCAGGGTTGTCTCTTAAATTCTCACAGTTGGATAAATCCTCCACAGGATTTTTGTTTGTTCTCCTTTTGCTAAAAACATGTCAGCTACAGAGAAACGAAACAAAGGAGCTTTAACTTCTCTCTCTCTCCCCTCCTTCACTCTCCCCCTCCAGCCGGTGGTGAAGCTCATCGAGGAAGCGAGTTCCAGAGGTCTTAAGGAAGTGCGATTCATCACGCTGCAGAACCAGTACATCCTCAACATTAAGGAGGGCTTCCAGCAGAACGCCGTCTTCGGCTTCAGGCGGCAGATCAAGAAGAGGCCCATGTTCATGTCATCCGTGATGCTTACGCCCTACCTACAGTAATTATCCCAGCCTTCTGATCTGATTAGAGATGATTCTGATGAGCTATAGTTGCATCAGACGTGGTTGAGTTGGAGCTTTGGTCCAGTCTCAGATCACAGCAGGTAGCTCCAACCCTCATGGATGTTTCTGCTCATTTTCTTGCACATAAAAAGGGATTTCTCCCCGTTTTGTTGCCCTGTTGCTGCAGATTTAAAAAGTAGCCAACCCCCATGTAAAAAGAACTTTTTTATTTGGCGTTGACTCAAAATGGAGAGAAAGTTTAGTGCTTGTGGTTTGAAGCAGCACTTATTTAAGGAATAATACGGCCTTTCTTTGAGGATATGTGCCTGGCAGCGCTGCTCTGTAACTCACACTGAAATATTGGCTTTCGCGTCCGTAACACTCCGTCTCCTCTCAGCGCGCTGTGTTCTCTGGGCGTCCTGGCTTTGTGTTTACAGACGTGTCGGCACAAAGAGGCCAGTACACAATGCCAATGTCACTGCTGGGGTTGAATACTCAAAGGCTCTGAACTCCACATCCATTTTTAATCCAGTGCGGTGCTGCCGCAGCCTGAGCTCGAGACCCACATTAACTCTATCCCAGGTCAGATATTTGGCAAGTCAGCCGAGGTTACTGGGACGTCGGAGTGAAGGCTGCAGCAGATGGGTCGAGATGAGATAATCAGGGAAATGAAAGCAGATCAGACGTATGACTAAAGGCAAATGAAGCAGAGTCCCTGTGGAGGCAACTGACTGGTTCTCATATGCTGTCATGCTGATGTTCCGTGAACTTCCTGTCTTCATGCAACTGCAGAGATCCGCCTCAAAGCACTCGGGTTCGTCCGTTATTTATTTTTTTAAACAAGTGATACGTGATTGAAAATCAGTGGCGTCGTCTTACTTTAGGCCACGTTCTGAACGACTGCTGGAACAGACTGTTCCTGCCCGGCTGGGACGGTCGAGGACAGCGGGAGACCGAGAAATCCAGAGAGGAGGTCGGAGGTCGATTTCGAAGAGTTTCAAGGGGTCATCTGCTAATGCACATGCTGTTGCAGATGAAACCATTAAAAACACACTTTTTTTATGTTTTTGAGCGTGCATCTTCAGGAACCTCCCCTCCTCTCCCTGATCATTCTCTGGCTCGCTCTCTGTCACATTCAACTCCATAATTATTTTGTTCTTTTTCGTTTCATACTTGTTTTCTGCAGCAGGCTGCATGTGGTCTGCTCAAAGCACACACGGGATGGAGACGTGCTGTGTGTGTGTGTGTGTGTGTGTGTGTGTGTGTGTGTGTGTGTGTGTGTGTGTGTGTGTGTGTGTGTGTGTGTGTGTGTGTGTGTGTGTGTGTGTGTGTGTGTGTGTGTGTGTGTGTGTGTGTGTGTGTGTGTGTGTGTGTGTGTGTGTGTGTGTGTGTGTGTGTGTGTGTGTGTGTGTGAGATAAGAGAGAAGAGATGAGAATAACTGTCACAGTACCTCCCATCCTCTTGATAACCCACACACACACGTTCTCCTAGATGATGGAGCTAACAGCATTTACACTCACAAGGTGATAACTTGACAGGAAAACTACTGTTACTGACTCAGAATCCAGACGTGCTGGAGATTTTTGTCACTTCTGTGACAGCTCCACAATCGGCATTTTACTTCTCCAGCTCTTACCAGTTCTCGCTTCTGTCCCTCTCTCTGCCACCCTGCCACCACCGTCTTGTTTGTCACTTTTGCACAGCCCTGTAGATTTGTTTAGGTGTGAGAGCCCGTCGCGGCTGATGGGTGGTTGTGATACGATTGTGGGAGTTGGGTTTTTGTTCTGCACCAGGTTGCAGGTTTGAATTGGAACAAACGGGATACAGTTTGGAAAAAAAGGCGTTTTCATCAGCGTTCTGCCACGACATTTGCTACAGCAGTTCACACATAGTCACAAGTTTATCTAATGTTTGATCCTTCTGAGCCGAGTTTTACTCGCTTTTAGCTTGGAGCGAAAACAAAAACCCTCAAATGTGTGACTCTGCAGCAGCACGCGGTGACAGTTTAAGCCTTTTAATAAGAAGCAGCAGCTAACGTTTCATCACATCTTGTTGGAGGTAATCACTCCTGATCCAGCCTCACTTGTGCTGAGTTCTCGCTCAGAGTTGGCAAATTTACAAAGACTCTGCTTGAATGTGGAAGGAAGAGAAGCTGATCGAGTTTAGGGATGAAGCTGATGTCTTCACAGACCTGCTTCTGATCAAATCTGCCTTTAGCTTCATGTAGCGCCAAGATCTTAACCAACCTGCCTGTTGGAGGCACTTATAAGTAGATAAAGGGCAGAAAAGTCCCCGTTTTGTTTATTTCAAACGAGATTACTGATTTTGAGAGATTGGATCAGTCATGTATGTCACGACCTTCTAGGAACTGGACAATCAGACTCCCACAACGCAGTCCTTCTCTGAATCTGCCTGTAGTCCAGTTCAGGGTTAGAGTTAAACCCACCAACAAACCGAAACCAGCTAGAGCTTTGGATATTTTCCGTCTCTTCAGTGAAGTTTTAACCGTGTTTTCCTTCTGTCCCAGGACTCTAGGTGGCCTCTCTTTACCTCCTCTCCCCTCCTCCACCTCCACCCCCTCCATCTCCACACCCATGGACATCTCTGCGTCACACCCTCTCTCGCCCACGATCACCAACCCGCCCAGCGTTTTTCCTGAGACGTGGCTGCCGATGACCACGAGCCAAGACTTCCTGCGGGTTCCCGTGTCGCGTGAGGACCGCAGCTACCGGACGGTGTACAGCCTGTTCCACAAGACCGTGTCGGAAACCAAGTTCAGGATCATCAAGATCCAGCGTGTGCAGAACCCCTTCCTCTGGGAGAAGTATAAAAGGTGAGAGCGGGGAGCTTTCATTTCCTCAAAAGTTTAATTGTTGGTCACGTTCCTGTTGAGGTCATGGAGTTCCTGCTGGCATGTAATCACGTCTTTTGCATGCACTTTTTTATTTGCCTGATGTTTGGAGAGGCTGTGGCTTTGCATTTGAGCATGCTTTTAGTTTTCTCATTAAATATTACTCAGCTAAAGTGAGCACTTGTACCTGTGTCGCAACTAAAAATAATTTGTTTTGTCTTTTCACTGTCAGGAAATGAGTCACTTGTAAACGGACACGTTTTAGGTTTAAAAGCACAAATTTCAGTGTGATCAATAGAAAAAAAACAGAAAGTGGCTGAACTGGTCCCAGAGCCCCGATAAACTCCCGATAAACGTTTTCATTTAGCTCTGTTTTACCTCTAAATAAAAAATTTTTTGTAACCTCAGACCTTTTTAAAAGTTCTTTTCTGTCAGAACTCCTCAGTAAACGTCAAACATCAGTTTAAAAATTCAGCTTTTTGCTGTAAACCTTTTAATCATTTGAGAAGCACCAAAAACACTCGACCCTAAATGAGAATAAATGCAAATGAATGTGAAAATAGGCCGAGTGGCAGCAGCTGTGTGGGGCTTCGTGAGAATGAGCCGGCGTTGGTGTGTGAACGCAGCAGATGGAGAGATGTTTGGTGACGCCAGTGTTCCTGTTGCTAACGCGGCTGGCTAACCGCTGTGGTTAAAGCAGGCTCGGTCCTGACAGCTGCAACAGTTCGATGCTTTCACGCCGACCTGCTACCACACGGTTTCACAATGACTCCACTAGTGTGTGTTGGAGCTCACTATCTCTAAAAGTGACACGGACTCCACTGATAGTCTGTTTCCTTTTCCCACACTCTGGTTGTGACAGTAAAAACCATAACTTCCTGTTTGCGTCTTTGTACCTGTTCATTTGCATTGGGGGGGGGGGGGGGGGGGGGCTTCAAATGTGAATCGCTTAGCAGGAAATTAGCAATGGTGCAGTGTCGTGTCCGAGGGTGTGAGTTCACCTGTGGGTCACGGCCACCTGATTGTTGTTGAGGTGCTTAAATCGGATTTCCTTCTGCTCCGACAGGAAGAAGGAGTACATGTCACGCCGCATGTCCGAGATGGACCGCCTGCTGAGTGAGCGGCACCTCTTCCACGGCACTTCGGCCGACGTGGTGGACGGCATCTGCAAGCACAACTTCGACCCGCGAGTCTGCGGCAAGCACGCTACCATGTTCGGCCAGGGCTCCTACTTTGCCCGCAAGGCCGTCTACTCCCACAACTTCTCCAAGCGCTCGCCCAAAGGAGTCCACTGCATGTTCCTGGCCAAAGTTCTCACCGGCAGGTGTGTAAAGGGCACTTTCACTGCTTTGATTCACAGAAATGCTTTTGATTTGTTTGCCTGATCTGCTGAACTTGGTGAAAAAGCCATTTAAGTCCCATTTGTGTCCACACTTTACTTTAAAGTCAGCTGGAGTTTATGAAACACTGTTCCCTTCAGAGCACACGCCTCCATAAACAGCCTCTTCTCCTGACCCGGGCTCCCTGAGCACCCTCGGATTAAACTTAAATAACACAGCAGCGTTCATTTGGATCATGAAAATCCTGAGGTTCTTTTCCATAAACCGACTTTCAGCCGTGCCTCGCTGCTCCCGTCCTCTCCGAACGAAAAGTCAAATCCACACTCGTGCATATAAAACAGCTGATTTGGTTGGACCCATCAGCACTGCTGTTCAGCTGGAGTCTACAGAGCAGACGGAGGATGTGGAAGTGGTCTGGAACCCCCCTTCCTCCTAATCTCACACACACACACACACACACACACACACACACACACACACACCGACACACACCGACACACACACACACACACACACACACACACACACACACACACACACACACACACACACACACACACACACACACACACCGACACACACACACACACACACACACACACACACACACACACACACACACACACACACACCTGGGTTTAACACAGACAAAGGAGGTTCTATCCTGAACATCTCTGCTGCTTTTGTCGGCCGCTGACACCGTTCTCATTTTAAGATACTTTATTTACGACCCGGGAGACGACGCTACAAAGATTGATGGATGACGGCTCTTTAGAGTTTGACATAAATATTTAAGAGAAGAAAGACAAAGCTACAGCGCTTCACTTCCTGCATGTAGTACACTGGTTCTGTGTGTTGTATGCAGGTGTTCAGCACTGAAGGATGTGTTTTCCCGTTAAAATGTTAAATGTTAGGCAGCATTTTACGTCTACTACACCTTTATTCAGATTTTCCTTTTTCCACGGTGTCGTCTCACAGGTTTACTGTTGGTAACCCCTCCATGCGAAGACCTCCACCCATCAACCCCCGTGATCCCTCCAGCGACCTTTACGACTCCTGCGTAGACAACTGGGTGGACCCTCAGATTTACGTCATCTTCAACGATGACCAAAGCTACCCGTACTTCATCATTCACTACGAGGAGGTTTCCAACACGGTCTCCGTATGAGTTCTCCACCGCTCCTAAAATGGCTTGAATTGACTTTTTTTGGTCCTCGGGAGTCACTTCTGGTACTTTAAACAGGTGAAACCAGGATATAAACTGTTCTGAGGTCAGCTGGACTCAGACCGGGCCGCTGTGATGAGGAACGACAGACCAAACTCAGCTGGACTCAACTGGAATAGCAGAGGATTGAGCTGGCCGTGTTTGATGGCTTGAGTGGACTCACGTACCACACCCTTAGCTGGTCTGAACCAGAAGCCCCGGGATGTTTATCACCAAGCTAAAGCAAATTTTTAGATTATTTTTTATTTTTCCCGAGCAGATTTAGGAAGAAACGTTCCTGTTTTCATTCTTTGTTTGGCTGCACGTGTGTTTGCAAGACAAACCCTGTCACAGACATTTAGCATCCTGCCACTACTGTGAATGACCAGCTAGCCGTTCAGAGGCCTCAGAGTTCCTCCATCATAGCGAATGCTTAACCCGACACTTTCTTTTAACTGTGTGTGTGAAGTTTTAAATTTAGTGGCCGACTCATGACATGAATCTTGCTGTAACCCCTCCTGGTAGACGATTCACGTGAAGCTGCTCTAGTTGCCATTTATATTTTCCTTTCTCCCACTAATTCAGTTCCTCTCGGGACGATTGAAGCTTGTGCAGTCCGACGCCGAGACTACTGCCGCTTTCCATCGACCAGCTAACTGAAGCTCGTCTCTGTCGGACCGCCCCCCCTCTCTCGCTCAGAGATCGTAGATTTTTTTTTTGTTTGTTTTTCAAGACAAACTGTACAGATGTTTTTTTGTTTATATTTGAACTGTGTGCCTTTTGTTCATAAAAATGTTTATTTATGTTAGTTTTACTGTAACATTGATTAAATAAAGAATTTTAAAGAGCAAAATGACAGAAGGGTCATCTTGTGCTTTTTTTAAAACCTGAAGATAGTTGGTGAAAGGTTGTTTAATAGTCAAACACGCTTATTAGTCTACATTAAAATGAGTGTTTTTCATATTTACTATGTAAATCAGTCAATTAAAATCGGAAATGCTGCGGGAATAATTTATTTATTTATTTATTTATTTTTTTTACCGTGTCCTGTCTGGCTGTGAAGCAAGCAGAATTGATGTCTGAATGCTGGTGACAAGCCTTACAGATTTATTCTCAGGTGGAGCATCAAAGCGTCTGCTTTTAATGTCACGCCTGATACTTAAAACTTTATTGTTATTGTTGTTGAATGCTTTGTAATTCCGACCAGACACGGAGACAGAGGTGAAAGAGAAAGGAAGAGAAAAGGTGGAGAGAGAGGGGGGGGGGGGGGGTCCACAAAAATAAACAATGAACAAGAGTCTGCTTCTAAACCTGCAGAAAAAGACAAAAAAAAAAAAAAAAGGACACAAAAAAGGGACACAACAACAATACAACAAGATCTACCTATTACTGCGTCAACTTGATGAAAAAAAACTATATATATATATATATATATATATATATATATATATAATCAACATTGCTTAACTGAAGAATCACGATTATAAATCACAATGCATTAAGTGCCCCCCATAGTCTTAAGACATGTGTTGAACGTGCCCAAGCCCATACTTTTGAGAGCACCATGTGAGCACCTGTGTGTGTACACGCGCTTGTTTATTTAAGGTTTCTCTATAGGAGCGTCCAACAGAGAGTGTGAGGGACCACAGATCCGCCCCCCAAAGATGCGCAGGAGACGGGGGGAGCTCCAAGTCCCAGAGATCCAGACGTTGCCCCAGAATGCAGGAACCCCAAGGAGACTGCAACCAGAAAGGCCCCCGCCCCCCTCGAGAGGCACAGAGGATCGCCCCGGGGTCCACAACCAGCAGCCGGCAGAGTCCCTGGAGGTATCAGCGGCAAGCCCACAGGCCCGCCCGCAGCCTCCCACCCCCTAGCCGGCCGAGCCCGGGACCCAGCGACCCGGGACCCAGGGGTGACCACCCCCGCCGGGGACCCAGCAGAGCCCAGGGACCCAGACCCCACCAGGCAGCCACCGGGATCTATCAGGCAGATGCCAAAATCTTAAACCCCCGGACCCGGTTGCCACGAACACTCAGGCAGACCATGGCACAAGCCCCCACACCAGGTGTGGCAGGGGGAGGGGGGACAAAGATCTATATCATCAAGAGAAGTTCCAGGAGAGGGGAGGACCCAAAGGCCCCACCTGACATATACAGTCATACACAAACACAGTCACACACTCCCTCCCTCATGCTCACACATGCACATACAACCCAAGACTTACAAAAATGCACGCCGGACACTCACTCATGCTCCCCATACACACCCTATTAACTCTGGTCCCGGTACTGCTGCACATGGGGTACAACCATCACCGGTAACCAGAGTTTGACCCTTTCTGCTGGGGTGCTGATGAGCAGGCTCCCCCGCCCAACGCTGGGCACAGCAACCCACCACCCCAGACCCCAACCAGATGGCCAGATCTCCCTCCTAGCCTCCAGCCCCAGGAAGCCTAGCAACAACAGAGGTGGCTAAGACCCCTAGTCTCCCTCCACCTGCTCCAATATAGTGTTGTGTGATCATGAGGTGTATTCCATGGCTGTGGTGAGTGGGCAGTGCGGGCATCATCCGGCATATGCCAGCTGATGCCACCGCACCACCCCACTTACACCCTCAGCCATCAGTGTCTAAGTGCGGTTTAAAATTGGAAGTGGGCACCGGCACTCGGGAGGAGGCTGAAATATCCCCCTGCCAAATGCCGTTGAATGTGCTCACTCCCAAGGCCCTAAGTGTGTGTTTGTGTGGAATGTCGTCAGTGGACGTGTATAAGGTGCAAATAAAATTTGGGGGCAGGTTGCCACAGGAATGCGGAAATGGGGTCCATACCCGCACTCCCTGACTTGCCCACCCCCCAAGGTCCTATGTGTATGTTTGTGTGATGATGTGAGGGAGCAGGAGGAGAGAAATATGCGGGGATGGGGAGGAATGGCTGGTTGGGCTTAGCCCTCCAGGGAGCCAGCTCCCCTACTGGCCCCAATAGGCACCTCTGGTGTCAAACTGCCACCCAGGGCATGGAGACCCCAGCCCATCCTGCCAGGGCCCAAAGCAGCAGCATTACAGAGCCTCACGGAGTCCGAGGGCACCAACCCAGCCCCATCCCAGCAGAATATCTATGCCCATCCCTGCATTTGCACAACTTCCAGAATATATAAGACATGGGACATCCAGGTAAGGTTTGGTCCTCCCCGTCCTGGACCTCCCCCTCCCCTGTGATGGAACGGCAGAGGAGCCAAGGTCTACCTGATGCCCCCGAACCCGGGCTAGGCACTGCCGAGTGTTCCTGCCTTCTTCCCGGCAGCATACATGTCAGGACCTGACCCCCAAGGCCCCGCCCAGATCCCCACACGGGGCCGGCCACCCCCAAACCCTGAGCCCCCAGGCCCCCACCCAGACCCGTCCAGGGGCATTGCAGCCGCCAGGCAGTGACCCATGGCCGCCGCCAAGATCCCCAAGGGGCCCCACTCACAACCGCCAGCAGTCCACCCCCCGAGGCAACCCAAGCACCTCCAGAGGGGGGCAACCGCCCCCCAGTCCCAGACACCCCCAGTGAACCCACCTTCAGGGAACATCCGGATACTCCAAACTCAGACCCCACACCCCCCCACCCACACCATCCCGCAGGACAACATCAATGGCCCCCCACCCTCGCTATGTGATGGAACCGATCAAAGGAGCCCAGAGAGATTCATCTGAAGTGGAAGCAGAGGCTATATCAAGTGCAATATGATCTAACAAAAGATTTCTATACTGGTTAATGCAGAGACTTTCTCTATTTTTCCAATTCAAGAGGATAGTTTTCTTAGCGATGCATATGGCAGTCAGAACCACGTGAACCAAAGATGTTGCAATCGGGACATCGTGCAGCTGTCCCAGTAAACAAAGAGAGGGGGAAGTTGGGATATGACATTTCAGACATTTTGACAGATCCTCACATACTCTACCCCAAAATTCCTGGACAGGTGGGCAGGACCACAGTGCATGAATGTAATTGTCAGAAATGTTGTTTGTGCAGTGTGTACAGGTGTCAGACGTCACAAACCCCATCTTGAACATCCGATGACCTGTATAGTGTACTCTGTGTAGAATTTTGTACTGAATTAATTGTAAATTGGGGTGTCTGATCATTTTAAAAGTTTTTAAACAAGTTTGGGACCAGAAGTCCTGGTCAAAGCTAACTGATAGATCCACCTCCCATTTTTCAATAGGGATTGCAATTTTATCGTCTATTTTGGACAGTGTCTTATATACTTTAGACAGTAGTTTGGGGGGTTTGAGATTATAAAAGTCTAATACCCTTGGTGGTGTTTGTAATTCTATTTTATTGAGCTTAAATTTTTGTTTGACTACAGATTTAATTTGGTGATATTCTAAAAAGCTATTCTTATCCATTCCAAATTGGGAGACTATTTGATTAAATGGGATGAAGTCCAATCCTTCATATATGTGTTCCAGGTATAGGATTCCTTTATTTTTCCAGTCCGGAAGGTTCATCATTTTGTTGTTTTGCAAAATGTCAGGATTGTTCCAGATAGGTGTGCGTCTGCATGGTACTAGTGAAGACTCTGTCATTTTAACCCTTTGATGCATAATGGTCACTACAGTGGACAGGTACTCAAAATTGTTATTTCTTTATTTTTGCTATGAAGCACAGCTGTTGAAGACTTTATTGCATGTGAGCACCTCCATTTGGACTTCAGTAAGTCAAGCCAACATATTTCATGTTCAGAATGCACGCTGCCCACTGAGGTGGACGTGTAATAAATTATTTGTAAATTAACAAAATGTTACAAAAAATATTTGTTGAAAGTTGTTTCATTCACACCTAAAGATGGATGAAAAAAATTGTTTAAAAAATCATGGTTGAAGATTTCATAATTCATGCATCAGAGGGTTAAGATACTCCCACCATGCTGTCAGAGAGGTGCTGATACTAATACTTTTGAAGCTTTCATGTTTTCTTATGCTTGGGCTAATAAATGGTAAGTCTGAAAGCTCTATCGTATTGCAAAGTGTCTGTTCTATATCTAACCAGGACTCGTCTAATGGGTTATCTTGCAACCATCTTGGTATATATTGCAGCCTGTTGGCTAAGAAATAATAATAAAAGTTGGGTAAATCCAGTCCTCCTCTGTCTTTGGTCTTCTGAAGCGTTTTTAAGCTAATTCGTGGAGGTTTATCCTGCCAAAGGAATTTAGTAATTGAGGAGTCCAGAGATTTAAACCAGTCAGCTGGAGGTTTGTTTGGGATCATCGAGAATAAGTAATTTATTCTGGGTAAGACCATCATTTTAATTGTAGCAACTCTCCCCATGAGTGATATTGGTAAGGATTTCCATCTTGCAAGATCATCTTCCACTTTCCTTAAAAGTGGGATGTAGTTTAGTTTGGTTAGATCCGCTAACTTGGGAGAGATATTAATTCCCAGGTATGTGATATTCCCTGACTCCAATTGTGTATTAAGCAAATTGACAAATGAGAAATTAATTGGTAGAACTGTGGATTTTAACCAGTTTATAGAGTAATCTGAAACTCTGGAAAAAGAGTTTATCAGTTCTATTGCTTGGGAGAGAGAGGATTGAGAATTCTGGAGAAAGAGTAAAACATCATCTGCATAAAGACTGATCTTATGTTCTATTTTCTTACACTTTATCCCTTTAATATCTGTTGTTTGCCTAATTGCTGCTGCTAGTGGTTCAATAAAGATAGCAAATAGTGAGGGGGAGAGTGGGCATCCCTGCCTGGTCCCCCTCTGAAGACAGAAGCTAGCTGACATTTGGTCGTTCGTCCTGACACATGCTGTTGGTGAACTGTATAATGTTTGTAGCCAGTTTATGAAGAAGTTCCCAAAACCAAATTT